GACTGTACCTGTCCCAGCCTTTGTTTTTAAACAAACTCCTAAACAAATGCAGAGGAATGCACATGAAAGGGTCTGCCTTTGAGGTGTGTCCAAGATTGAATGTGAATATACTGGGAGCTACAGGCACTAGAATCAGGCTGGAGTGGAGAGTGTCAGCAATTGCATGCATGAAGAACAAAAAGGGCAAGTGTAATGGAGAATGGAACAGGCCCATGTGGTGACCATTGATGTGGTAGCTGGAACGGAGGCTATCCTACTAGCAGAAGACCCTGCCTGGTAACTGACATGATTCTTAACTGGCAGCAACTCTTTGGACCTTCTGTCATAATTGCCCACAATGCAACTACATTCCTCTCCCCGTAAACTCGGCCCCTCACAACTATATCACGAATATGCACATCTGTAATGCTAATATTCCTGCCCCATCTGTCGGTATCCTTCAGTGTTAAGTGTCTCTTTAAGAGTGTGCTACAGTGTGAAGCACTCAACATTAACGTCAATTAACCCTTGTGTCCACCGATAACCAGAGAAGAGATTCATTCAAATTAATCAAAATTGCTGATGCAATTAGCTGATCATTTTAACTAGGGATGGGCCGATCCACATTTTTTCAGTTCCAATCCGATTCCGATACAAGAGCACTTTTTACTTTGTTATTCTTTATATATTAATTTTTGAGGCTAGTAAATACATATGGAAAAAATGTATGACAAAAAATATTTAATTAGGCTACTACAAACATACCTAACATACTGTTCCACCTCGTTTGTACGTCTTGTTTTAAGCGTTTTTGAGGCATTTGCAGTTCAATATGAATATCTTCAAAACAAGTATACGCAAATGGCGAATGCTTAAAATTTTAACACAATTTTTCTCTCATTGGCGTCAGTTCAGTTACACTTTGTTGCAATGGCAGCCCCCCTTGTATCACAAGCTGCAGCGAGTTTGCAAAACAGTCCAAGTTAGCGACTCCCAAATCATCCATTGCTTTTTTTTGTCTTGCACAGTTGCATGCGCTTTGTTAAGTGGGATTGTCCATTAAACGCTATTCCCACCTCTCAAAACTTGATTTTACAAAGATTGCAAATCGCTGTGATACTGGTTTCTGTTAAAAGCATAAAACACTCCCAGATCGTCACATCTTATCTTACGCTCCTCGTACTGTGAAGGATATGCGCATGACGTCACATCAGGCGGAAGTCACTGTACTCACACCCACTGAGTGGCAAAAAAGACTGAGGGGCAGCATTAACATTTGATTTGAATGCCGCAAAAAACATGTAAAATGGGAACGAGCTGATTTAACACGAAATTTTTAGTGATTGCCAAAAACTAAATAATATAATATAGGCCTGATCGAATATCGGATCGGTGCATCTCTAATTTTAACCCTCAAATCCTCCTCAGAATTCCTGCAGAGAATGACATGATAAATTTGGATGCTAACAAATGCAAGCTCAGTGCCACATCTGATACTTCGTAGCCTAGCTGCCTGTACCCTTCAAATGACTAGCCATGCCTGCAATGCTAATTTCCACTGAGAATGTTATTATTGTAGGTGCTTGCTGATGTCAGTTTTTGGTAGAGTGGACGATAAAGCCATTTGCAGCTTTATAGCTCCCTACCTATCTACTAATTAGTTTTTGAGGAAGTGATGCAAAACATGTTTTTGTAAAAAGGTTTCGATTATGCTTGTATTTCATCTTCACCGTCTCTTGTTGTGTATTTTGTAATATTTAATGACATAACCATACATTAATCCCTCCAATTTCTATCACCACTTCCCTAGTACAGGGTCATGGAAAGCCTGGAGCCTATACCAAAAGGGCAGGAGATATCGACTTGTGCAGTTCCCCAAGCATTTACTAATTTTATAAGGTTTAAATAGATCCTAAGTATATGTACAACAACAAATAGTGAAAATTACTGAATATTATAACACCTCCTTGTATACCAGCTCTCACAGGACAGCTTCAAAGATAGTAGAACAGTAGATGCCCAAGCAGTAGCTGCCACCACTCACCCCTGCCTGAAAAGTACAAAATAAACACACTGTCCTTCCTAGCATTGTTCCTTTAAACACAATTATCCTGGAGTGTTTTTGTTTCTGCGAGCCCTGGTAAATGACATCATCCCAAACTCAATCAGTTGTACCAGGATGCCAATTATAGTTGTTTTTCCAAAGCATCAACCGTGGAGCCATCAGACAGGTAGGGCTCACTCCATCAAGCCCTGTTTAGGGCAAGCAAGACGTAGATTCCAGTAGACACCACATCCACGCCTCACAGGTCATCACTAGGAAACTACGCCAAAGCAATTTGAGATGGGAAACACAAAACCAACAGGAGACAGTGTGACAGGAGAGGGTATGTCAAGCCATTTTCACACATGAACTCCGGACATTGCCCGGAGAATCAGGTCCAGACAGTTTCCGCAGTTGACCTTTCACACATGTGGCACACAACCAGAGACTGTCCATGTTAGATGTGTTCACACCTACTAGAAATACTCCAACTGGTTTAGACAAGGGGTGGCACTTCAGTAGAACATGCAAGAGGCAGGACATGAGGCAAAAAATACACTGCAGAAATTGCGAAGTTTTGTTTCTGTGTTTGTGTCTCTGGAAAATTCCCTGCTCCATTCACACATGGGGGTTAATCAGAAATTACTAGGACTTTGTATTAGGAAGTTGGCAGGGTAAGGTCTGTTTAATGTCCAATACGACTATTTCGGACATTTGAGTTCACACATACACCCCTTCCAGGTAATGTCTGGAAAATTCAGGGTAGCAGTGCATATCTGAAAGGGACTTGAGATATCTCAGAGAAGAAAGGTCTATTCAAAGAGGTACATAAACAAAACAGACTGGTTTAAAAAACCGATAGGAGTAAGAAACATCCTCAGGTCAAATATACTGCCTCCATGCCAGTGAGGTCTCTACCATAGTGTCAGCCATCTCTCCATAACAAGCTAATTGATAATGATTTTAGTCTTCCACATGGATAATCACCATGAATGATTATCATAACTCAAAAAAGACACATGCAAGTTGATCTCATCACAATCTCCTCTTGTCAGCAGCCATACCACCTGCAGGTCACACTAAGTAATCCATCTAAAGCTAAGCATGTTTTGGCCTGGCCAGTTCTTGGATGGGTGACTAGGATAGCTGTTGTAATTGCCAACAGGTTAGCCTGTCCTGTGGTCTGTGTGAATCCCAATGCCCCAGTGTAGTTATGAGGACATAGTGCCATCCTTTGGCTGAGAGGTACAAGAAAGGTACTGATTCTCTCAGGTCATTAAAAATCCTTGGGAATCCTTTGAAAGAGTAGGAGCAGTACCCCAATATCCTGGCTAAAATTGCCCACTGTGACCCTCTCAAATCTGGCCTCCTAACCATCCCCTATGTCTAACTGATGAATTCTGTCCTGCCCCTTCTCCACCTTAGCTGGTGTGTGTACCAGGACAGAATGGCTGCCTTTGCACCATCCAGGTGGATTGCACACATTGGTGGTGGTTCAAGTGGTTCCCTAATGGTTCTATAAAGCACTTTGGGTGTCTTTAAGTAATCCCTCAAACTATGCTTATACAAAATCATTAAATGTCATATCACACTCTTGTCAACACATGTAAGAACTTGGATACTGAAAATGTAAATCAGATGAGGTTGTTGTTCAGTTTGAGACTATTTCACACAAGCAAAACCTTTTCTGACAGCCTCAACTCCAACCCACAGAACTTGTTATTTTACTCCTCCAAAGGTCTGCAGGAGTGGAATGCAAAAAAAGACCAATAATCTTACACAGAAACTGCTAAAGAAGAATCATAAAGCTACAGGCTCTTGACGACCCTCACAGATGGAGAGTTTTATCTTCAACGACAGTATCTGCACCGTCAGCTGTACGGTGAGAATTTGTCACGAGCAGCCAATGACAAATGGGCTACAAATTAGACGCACTCACATTTTTCTTGTGCGTGTGGCGTGGATTGTGGGTTTTATTTCAAAAGCATACCCACACATTTTCAGAACTCCCATTTCTGAAAAACTGAGATTTTCGTGCAACATGTTACCAAAAGCCTGGCAGATGCCATAAGGATCCTTATGAGAAATGCACTTATCCCATTCCCGCTGATAGCCAGGGGAGTCTGAGAACAAGACAAATCAATGAATTGCATCCATCCATAAATTTTCCATTTCCATTTGTCATATGCAGGACTGCAGAGGTCTGGAGCCTATCCCAGAAAAAATGGACAAGGCAGGGAATAACCCAGGGCATACACCCTTCACACCTGTGGGTAACTCTGGCAGCGCCAATTCACCTTAGCATGTTGTTGAACTGTGGGGGAAGCTGGAGAATCTGGAGCAAACCCAACGATTACATGGGGAGAACATTCAAACTCATGAATTCATCCAAAATAAATAACATAAAATATAAATTTAAGTTAAAAAGGCCAGTCAGGTGGAGCTGAATGGTCTGCACTCAGCAGCACAGCTGGTTAACAGAAGGCCTCCTACAAATATAGGACTTGCATAAACAGAGTGCAGTTAGGCATGAAAAACTATTCATGTTATCAGCCTCTTCTCTCCTCTTATCGGTTTTCTCTGCCCACGACCAATTTAATCGCCTTGGTCCCCGAGAGACACACCACTGCAGGGTTCCAACTTTCAGTTTTCGCAGGATTTTTTTGGATTAATTGCAATTAACAGAAATCAACTTCATAAAGAACACTCAAGAAAATATTTTAGGTGTGAGGAATGTTGATCGTAGTTTTTCCTGCGTGGCCGATAGGGACTTGGCTACAAACAAACTGCCAAATAAATCAGCATGATCAGTCTCAGCGTTTTGGCTGTTGAAATAACTGAACCCGTTCAGTCAGTCCATAAACCTACAACATACGACTGGAAAACGCTGCCGTCCGAGCAACTTTTGTCTTTTAAAGCAAAGTCTGTTATCCCGTGTGTCGTAATTCGCACAAAATTCCCAATACAAACTACCCACCTCAGCTCCACAGCCTCCACCATCTCGCTTATACTACTCATTGTTGGCAGAACAGGCGGCTTTACTCCTGGATCCAAAATGGGTTTCGGGATAAAAAAGAGATGTCCGACACCCGGAATTAACAGCTTGACAGATCAGCCGCCGTCAACATAGACACGAGCTAATAACGGTCGCACTGTCTCGTGGGGCGCCCTGCACGCTCCGGGGTCCTCGCTCCGTGGCACTGTCTCGTGGGGCGCCGAAGGGGAAGGGGAGCGGCGAAGGAGCGCGGGCGCGGAGGTGAAGACGCGCGGTCACGGCGGTGACACAGATTCAGCTCTCTGTTTGCGGCTCCGCTCCGCTGTGCCTGTGTCTTCCCCCAGCTGTCCTGGAATCGCCCGCCTCTCTCCGCACTCTCATCAGATTAGCGCTTCCACGCCGGAGGAAAAAAAAACATCCCCCGCAGCGAAGGCCCTCCCGCCCCGCCGCCACTCAGCATCCGCTCCCAGCTGCCTCTCCCTCGAATCCCACCGCCGCCGTACCTCAGGGATAATTCTCCCCCCAGTGAGAAGACGGAGAAACGAGGGACAGGGAGCTCGACTGGCTGCTGCTGCCGTTGTATAATATTTACAGACAGAATCTGCGCCTTTTTTTCTTCTGTATACGAAGCGCTTGTGCCGTATCCGCCTATAAGCCTATTAATGGTATAGCAGGAGAACATGATGACCTCATAGATGCTGGACATTGCTTACTGTTCAAGTCCGCTCTTATGCAACAACCTGCTAAAACCGTCCGTCTGTTGTTACAATCAATGATCCAACAAACAATATTCTTATAATACACGTTACACAGAGGCTAGATGACTATGAGTGCAGCAGAACATACATTACAACGGTGGAGATGTGTAAAAGACGATATATATATATATATATATATATATATATATATATATATATATATCGTCTCTTACACAATAGCGCTCCCGCTAATAAAATGCAGAACAAGGCTCGTACCCTTAAAACAAATCGATCCAGCTCTAAAACAGCTGTGACCCAGATACGACCCTGCCTTTACCGCCTGCCCGATTATTTACGCAGCAATACGCGGTGCTGAACTCGAGGGAAACAGTACAGGCAGGCCTTGGCGCGGTCCAGACACACTTCCTCGCACTGTGACACACCCTTTCCTGCAGTCAGAACTCAGAAGCATAAACACAGGCGCACGCACAGTGCAGGCATGGAAAGTAGCACGTGCATTGTCACAGCCATATAATGATCAAGCATCTCCCTAAAAGGCATCAAGCGGGAGAAGGGGTACACAGGGGGCACAGGCAGATTCACGGAGGCACACAGCATCGGTGGGAATGCAGCACCTTGCCATTTTTAGCAGCAGAGCTCTTATTGCTCTTAGATCTCCCTGAATGTGCCAAGAACCTGCACTTCCACACTTGGATTCAGTGACTGTGTCATATTATGAGTATATACACCATATTATATATACTCCCCAGTCATTAAGATGTAAAAGGTGGCAGCAGGAATATGCATCATCTGCAGTGTTATGAATTTGTGTTTCAGAGTAATTGACTGTCGTCCGTAAACCCTCCAAGACAGCTGGAGCTTATCGCAAGGCATCTTTCTAGCTATGGCAGGAAATCATGTCATTTCCTAACCTGGGACAAAATGAGCATGGAGAGGGGGCCAAGAGAAACAGGCCAGAGGAATCCTGGTCCGAGGGCGTGTACGGACCTGAAAGTAAAGCGTAGAGGGATGGGACAGCCGGAGTGTGTGTGTGTGTGTGAGAGAGCTGCTTGCACGCGCCCACGTGTCTCTACGCGGCTTAGCCTGAGTTTCGGCAGCGACGTTCCCCAAACCGCTCGCAGGCCAAAGGCATTTCCTGTGGCCTCCAGGGCAGCCGTTTCCAAAGAAAGAGAAGAGAAGAGAAAAAAATAAAAAGGGATCAGCTCAAATACGTACGCAGAAACCATGGCTGCCACATGTAAGAAGTATACTAAGCGCAGCATTTACATGTATGCTGCTTAAAATAAATATATTTATCTGAATGGATCATCTGATAAAGGCTATTAATACAGAAGTGCTTGCCTGTATGTCTGTGGCTTATTAAGTAAGCCTGTGTGTGTGTCTGTGTCTGTGTGGAGTTTGTATTTACAACATTTATTTGGTAAGACCTGTTACTTTTTAGCTTGTGGGGACATTTTTCAAGTTTGGATCTACTGGACAGCTCCAAATGCCCTTACCCATATGGAGAGAGTGCCACAGGTCAGCAAGATAAAGAGGAAGGTGCTGTTTTACATTTGCACTGCTTTGGGTGTCTGCCTCTGCGGGCAGAAGCTACTCCACTACCCAGCAAATCTTCACTTCAGAAGTAACCCACCGTTCCAGCAAATCCTCTGAGAAACAGCTTTACGAAGGAAAGTAGAGCAGAGGGTGTGGTGTCCAAGTGCCTCCTCAGTCTGTCTGTGCTCTGCCTCCCCTTGTCACTGGGTTCCAGCACTGACACACACAGACACAGCCTTAAGAGCAACCAATCACGTGCTGTAGGCCTTAGACCTCTGAACTTTATAGCAGCTGCTATTTTTGGAGTCCGCATGGTTAAGTGTTTTTCCGATTATCCATTACGATGGGAAAATTGGCTAAAACCCTCACTGTGGACCTGTGGTTAATGTAATCATACACACGAGACTATTACAGGTGTCCAAAAAAAAAGCTTCCCATGTAACACATCAAAGCAGAAACTGTTTCTTCACGCTTTCATGCCGGTTCACCTGGATGCTGCAGACACAGGCCCCTGTGCACCCGCTCACTGGTCACGATCGCAACCCAGTACCGTGTGCCGTAAGTTATCAGTTGGAGTTACGTGAATCATAACTCTGAGAAACATCCTGGGTCTGCAGTTATAACTGGGAGTCACAAATGGTGAGTAACTCCCCCTTCTTCAGTTCTGTTAATTGTGTTCCTGCCGTCGTTGTCGAGTTGTCAGGTTCGAACGCGCGATCATGGTAGCCACCAAGAGTCCGTCACACTATGACTTCTCACTTCTCGGCGTCTACGCCAATCCATACCCTGCCAACCTCCTTCTACTGCTTAGCAACCAGCTCCCATGGCAACTACTGCTACCGAGAGGGGCGACTCATACTGATTTTTTTTCCCAGGAAAAAAAAATAAAAAAATGGACGGGACAAAAATAAATTCAAAACATGGTGACATTCTCCTTTTGCCACGGGGCTAATGTGTAGCCATGACTGATTTGTTGGGTTTCACAAAAATACTCTTTTTGATATATAAAAGGTTAATAATGTCTACCTGTAGACCTCCTGGATGAAAATCTTTGATTTAGTGCTTAGAAATATGATTAAATCCTACATATCCCAAGTTCTCTGACCGTGTCCTAGTGTAGCCCAAATACACACATAATCATGTAAACACTCATCAGCATATACAAATAGGCATTTCAACTATCACTATGGCTGGGAATACAGCTACGAGGAGGTGCTCCCCCTTCAGGCCACTATCAACAAAGCCAGGCAAGTCCATCCAAAAGCCCCCCCCCCACCCCAGATGACAATGGAGACTCAACAGACCATGTCGACCAGGAAAAACGGTGCCTGTGGCAGGAGCGCAGGAAGCTCACAGGATGCGTGCTGTTAGCATTCCAGCAGCCCACCCTAGCCGAGCTCTGCCCACCCCGGCGGCCTGCCGCATGCGAGGGCGGGGCTGCGACACGCATCGGCAGCCGGATGGGTGACATCACTCACCCTCCACAGGCTTTTCAGGTGCATTTTCTGTCACTTATTAAGCAAGAGTACAATCTAAAAAAAGAACAGATGGCGTAAACACAGGTACTATTTCCAGAAGCACGTCGCTATTTGTGACCATTAATTTTTAATTCACCGACATCATCTGTCATTCTGAAAACAGGACGCACATGCGGCATTTTTCATTAGAGTATCCAGTAGCTGCTATATATTGATTTATACCTGTATGTCGTCAATATTTTGCAATTTTCACTCCCTGATCTTGTTCTGGATAAATGGTAAGAACATGGAAGGATGGGTGGATGGATGTATGTATGGGTGGATGGATGTGTGGATGGATGGATGGATTTACTATAGGGAAATTGCTTGGGTCTTCACTTGAACTGTTTTAAGTACACATATGCATACTAATTTCTGCTTACTAATTAATAATGATTAATTGTATTACCTGATCATGTTAAAAATGTAAATACAAGATATGTATTTCTGAGACAGGGAGCTGCAGGAACATCCAGGCACGACGGAGCCCAGGTGATGAGTCAGTCCTCCTGATCTTCTGCCCCTTACTAGGCGATAATGTAAAAGTGGCTTCCGGGGTCTTCCTGTCCCCCGAGCACATGGTCAGACCTTCTGCAGACCTGACGTCCTTTTCACTTCCTTCATGTCTCCCCATCTCTCGCCCCCTTTCCTCTCCGCAGTTTTGTTAAACCCAGCTCTGCTCCCTGAATCCCCATTCCTTCCCCCCAACGCTGACTCATGTGGCTTCGCTCGCCGTCCCACTCGGTGCAAGTCTCACAGCGTTATATAAACGTTTATACAACATTCACACAACATTCACATAGCATTGCCATTCACCCGATCAACCCTCTCAGCTTCTGCAAACCGGAACATGATGTCACCATTTCTAAAACTGTAGTAATCATCATGGAAACTTCATGCTTCAGAGAGAAGAGCAGGATGAGTGACTGAACGATGGATGTCCTTTTCAGAAATGTTTACATTCAGGATTGCACACTTTGGACCAGCCAAGTTCACTTATAAGATTGGCTATATACACACACACACACACACACACACACGTATAAAATATATGCATATATATAAGTGCAAATGCACACATACTAGTAACACAAATATGCTCACATCACCGTAAAAAGTCAAGCATTAATAAGAGCGTCTGGGAACCCAAATCTACTTAAGAAGCTTGTATAGGTTCCTCTCGGCTCTCCAGGCAGGCCCTTCCTGAACAATGACATCACCACACCGGGGCCCTTCCTGTCCTTTCTTACCCCGTTTGTCTTCGGGGGTTGAGCGAGCACCAGCGAGCGTGTAGCCTCTCCCAGATGGCCCACAGCAGGCCGCCCAACGTCGACAGGCCGCTCCTGAACAGGGCCGCCTAATCAAACAGGAGAAGGCTGGGGCTGCATTTTGTCATGGTAATAAGGGGCTGGGGGCAGGGGTGTAGGGGACGGGGCAGCTGGCTGGAGGCGGAGGCAGGCTACGGGCGTGCAGAGCAGGGGAACCCCAGCCCCCCCTCGTAATAGACCCCTGAACTTTGCCCCGTTCTTTCAACCCATAGACATACCTAACAGAAGCCATCCGGTCCTCCGCTTCAGGTCCTCCCTGCACCTACGCAGATGCTTCCCATCCTTTTACTTCAACAGCTGTTTTGTCTCCAGTATCATACATTACAATTTATACACCTTTGAGGACCTACTTCAGAATACAAACGGCCTTTATTATAACTCCAGTCTTCTTTCCAGCTACGCGCCCTTAAACCGCCTCTCTGTGTCAGTGGAGCAGTTTGCCACACAATAGCTTTTGTATCTCAGGATCTGCCCTGCTTGGATTTCAGGAAGGTCCAAGTTCTCGCTGCCAGTTAGTTAATTCTTCAGTCCAAGAGGTGCCACGGAGGAGACGTGACTAATTATGGAATCGACAAAACTTTTTTTAGCAGCTTTTGTACCTGCTGGGGTCACAGCAGACATCCTTTCCAGGCCAGTGAATAGCCACGCTTCAGGAGACCAGGGGAGATATAGAAGGTCCCCGAATGTGACTCCTTTGACAGGCCATGAGGTGTCTGCTGCACGTTCACTGGCTGGATCAATAA